GGGGGGGGGGTCGTTATCACTTCAAATACATGAGACATCTGCCAGGTTTAATCCAGTAAAAACATTATCGTTTGTTATTGTAACGGGTACTACTGAACGTGTATATACAGTATTTTGTGTCACTGGTGGATTGCTGTGGAAAGATTGTGTGATGCGAGTACACCAAAATGGGAGCAGGGAAACGTGTCCTGCCAGATATGATTTCATGTCTTATGTAAGCTTAAAACGAGGGCAGAGAAGTATTAACCCTGCGTGTGTGTGCATGTGAGCGTGAGGCCCCCCCCAATATGGTGACATTTACTTAATGCTGCAGGCAGGTACACGCAAACAAATTGGGAGTGATTTATTGTTTTTGTCTGTGTGTCTTTGTAAGTTTAACCATCTTAATGTTTGTCTGCTGTGTGTTGTAGGTGGTGACACTGTGGTACAGAGCCCCAGAGGTGCTCCTCCAGTCCAGTTACGCCACACCAGTGGACCTGTGGAGTGTCGGCTGCATCTTCGCTGAGATGTTCAGGAGAAGGTGAGAGAAAAGAGAATTTTGGTGATACCTAGGGCTGGGCGACAAGGCCAAAAATCACGATATAGTATATATACATAGGTCATTTCAAATCTCTAGTGTATTAAACTGAGGTCAAGTCTTACTTACCACAATATCACTGGTGTCACTGTTCAGCCTGTCATATGGATCATAAGAGTCTTCGGAGGCCTTTACTGGGGAACAGATTATGATTAGTGAGCATATGGATGTGCATATACACACATCAACATGCTCGCATCCTTGTGACTAGGTCTCCATACAGAGCTAATATCACTAAAAGCTTTCTGCCATCTCATCTTTCCTATGAAGTGGTTTTACTGTTTGCATGAAAGCTGAAGTATTCAAGTGTGCGGAGATGTCCCAGATCTGCGGCTGATGTTGTCTGTATTTGAGCTTTAACCCAGAATCTAAGACCGCGCCGAGCTGTCTGTCCGTCCGTCCCATTCTCATGAACGCGATATCTCAACGGCTTGAAGGAATTTCTTCAACTTTGGCTCAAACGTCCACTTGGACTCGAAGCTCAATGTCGCTCTAACCTCACAAAACACGTCTGTGACCATACCTCAATAATTCATCGGATTATTTGGACAGTTTCACACAAATGTCTCATAGGATAAATAGATTAAGTGATGACATTATATCTCCAAAAGGTCAACTTAACTGTGACTTCAAAATGTTCTGCAAAAACCCTTTCCTGGCCATTATTCAACACCAAAACTGTGACCACATTTGGTTGGATACGGAATTGACTTTAATCTTGGGTGTCCACCTTGAAACTGCAGTGATGTGTAGATCTTCTGTGCTGCGAGTTTAGGATGTGACCGCCACAGCACACTACCACGAAGAACTGGCTACTACAGACGGAAAGAAGATCGTCAGCAACCTGCAGCACACACTGAACGATCTGAGGCTCTTCAGGAAGAACAATCTGCTCTGTGTCTGAGTCCAGTCCAGCTTTTTATGGATACTGGAAGGTACTTGTGGTCCAAAAGTGTGAGACCACCCTCTACCCTTCCTCTCCCTGGATGACAGCCAGGACAGAGAGCCTCCTGTTCCTCTGGTAGTCAACAAGCTCATTGGTTTTGCTGATATTGAGCCTAAGGTGATTGTCATGGGACCATTGACGGTATATAAAGACGTGGACGCAGTCACCGTGGTGTCACCCATTGTTTCTTTGGATTGACGGTTTGATTTCGTGGGACCAGAAGTGACACCAGAAGGTACAGCAGAATGCTGAATAAGACATTTTTAAGCAACCATAAATGTTTTCATTAACTTAAATGAACTGAAAACACACTCTGAAAGGGTTGAAGTTGTAAAATGAAAACACGGACAACTTCCAGACTGTACAACACTGTAGTCGTGACCTGTCAATCACAAGGTAGCCATGCCCTAAAGCATACTCTGCTTTATTGTCTGTTTTACTCTAAATAGGACCATCATTTACAAAATCATTCTGTATTGATGAAGACTTGAAACTAGCGATTGATACTATAAACTCGTGTTTGCAATCAGTTTCTCATAGACTTCTATACAATCAGACTTCTATTTGCAAGCAGAGGAGTCGCCCCCTGATGGCCATTAGAAAGAATGCAAGTTTAAGACACTTCAGCATTGGCTTCCTTTTCAGAACCGGAGGTTGCCGCCTGCATGTGATGAAGCTCTCCATCAGTCCTCTGTACTACTGTGTGAAAACAGCATGTTTCTCACTGGAAATGATTCACTGGAATCATACATGTCAATACTTCCTTTTCGCCAAAGAAATACACTTTCATTAAATTCCTTCAAAGTCTTCACTACACATTGTGAGTCTGGACGAACTTGGATTTAAACTGCAACTTGCCCTTTTGGTGAGGCGGTAGTTCTAGTTTGAGGTATAATCCACAAAAACCTGCTGCCGTCATAACAGAATCAGTTATTTGAGTGTTTGTTAAACGTGTCAATGTTTTCTCAAAATGCCACCTGTCGGCTGCGTTGCGAGCAGTGAGCAATCACATTTCGGTTGACTTATCAAACCATTACAGAAATGACAGGCTGGCTGCTGTGGTTGCAGCATGCAAGTCAAGATCCTGCTTCTTGGTGTAGGTATTTGTCAGTTTGTGGTCTAACGAACTTCACACACTGGAGAGCCAAACTAATAACGGACCACATATAAAATAAAAAAAAGGGGCTTAACTGCCTGTCTATGGAAGGGAAGGAAGTTATGTATTCAACAGTGACCTGGGATCTAGCCAGTCTGTAGTGGTGTGTGTCGGAGTAGATAAGAACAGTCTTTCTGAGGTAGGGCTGACTGCCAGGAGGAGCAACCCTGCCTGTAATTTATGCTTCCTTCCCCAACCGTCCTCACACCCCGACATGCACAGCCACACACAACGACTCTGCATGTGTGACTTAGTGGGGGATATAAAGGCTCCAGTGGCAAAGGGTGAAGAGACTGTGTAGTCATGTGGTACACAGACGGATGACAAATAAATAAGAGGAGGAATAGGGATGACGGGATCAACCTGTTTTACCATAACAGATATACCGGCATTATATTTGCCAAAAAGTGCTTTAAATCAGCAGTTGGGGAGCATTCTGGATTTTAAAAAATGACAAGGGAGTCATGTGAACTAAGACACAGTTTACTGCGTAAAGTTTTACTGCCCATCGTAATCGGCCGCCAGACGCTAAATAGTGCCTCTGTGCATCGGTGTCAGATGCCGAGGAGCCCTGACTTTTTCCCCTTTTCACCTGTACTGGTATCAAAATGTAGATAATTTTAGAATACATTTCTTTAAAGGCCTTTTTCTTTAGGCCAGAAATCTCCACTTTAGTAGTACTTACCTAAACCAAACTTTTAAGTTTAACTCCTGTCTATATTCCGAAGGTTTTCAGAGGGTGTTGTTTATACATCGTTCATGGCCTGATTTGTAAAACATTTTATTCCTAATAATATATATGTATGTATATGTGTATGTATGTATGTATGTATATGTGTATGTATATATGTATATATGTATATGTATATGTGTATATGTGTATATGTGTGTATATGTATGTATGTATGTATGTATGTATATGTATGTATGTATATGTATGTATATGTGTGTATATGTATGTATATGTATGTATATGTGTGTGTATGTATGTATATGTATGTATATGTGTATATATATATACGTGTATGTATGTATATGT